TCGATTTTTTAAATTTCAAAACCAAAACCAAAACAAATCAAAGAGTATCGGTTTTTTTGGTCGGTTTGGTTTGGTTTTTGGGTTGGTTCAGTTTTTTGGATTTTTATGAAGACCCCTGGAGGGAAACTGTAATATCCGCCCTCAACCGGATGTTACGGTACGAATCTCGCCCGATATCAACTGCATAAATGTTTACTCGAAGGAGAAGATTCTTTTTTTACCTTATGTAGACTTATACTAGGATTGAAACTCCCCTACTATATAAAGGGGAGAACCTTTTGATTTTAAAATCACTATAGGCACGCATATCAAAGGAATAAAGTTAATTTTTGTCCTTTAACTATTGTTCAAAGTGTTCTCCAGCTGTTTGTTTATTAAGTCATAACCGAGCTCGTTCCGAGGGCTGAATCGGAACAAAATTCCAGACGCTCAAAGCGAAGTTGAACTTGTTCATCCACTACATTTGGTTTGATTGTTCTGAATTTCTTTAATTCAATTATTTACTGTTCATAGTTCATTCGTGTTAAATTAAACCACACATCCTTTAACTGCGTATAAATTTAATTGTTACTCATTTTAAGGGTAAACAACATCAAACAGGTTATTTTTTATTATGCATTAATAAAGTAAAAGTGTCACAATTTTTGTACAAATTATATGGAAAACTGCTTATCTTAAAATACATCATGTACTAAAGTCTTTGAAGAACAAACTAGAAGGTGACTACACCTATACTTATTCCTCCTAATAAAGGAGAAACAAACTATATTTAAATTGTTTCTAAGGTGACCAATATCTTCATATATATTTTGCGTAGGCCAAAATGCTGAAATCAGACCCCGTAATATTAGCACCATTTCCAATTTTAAGTGTCAAATAATTAACACTTTAAATTTTAAAATACCTACCAAACAAAACAAAATTACGCTGTAAACCAAAAAAAGAAAAAAAAAAGAGAATCAGCAACGGAAACAAGAGTACTTAGACCAAGTAGTATCCTTTGAATTTGAGAAAGTTTTTCATTACTCATAAAAGAAATTGACAGTTTCTGTTTTTTTTTAAATCAAAACGAGTGGTTTTTTATTTATGCATTAGCAAAGCAAAAGAATCACTTATTTCGTAGACAAACCTTGTGGGAAACTGCTAGAAGGCGACTACATCTTATTTTTTTTTTGGTTGGAAAGATAGGCAATATTATAACATAACAAATATTTACATAAGTTTAGAGTCTTGGATGCATACACGGCATTCGTTGTATAAAGATAGAGCTAGATTGTTTATTTTCCACTACTTGGGAAACAACACTAGTATTGGAAGTAGAAGCTACTAAGGGAGTTGTACTATTATACACACTAGCTAAACCATATGATCCAGAGAGAGATTGTGTAACATTCCTACTAAGCTGCCGAGACATCCTGCTATGGAGTGTGCCCTCGTGATCTTGTTCATAACAAGACATAACAAAAGGTGGGGGTGTTCCAAAAAGTAGGCATTGCTCCTGTACATGCGTGCACCATATTTAGCTAATTTATTTGCTACACAATTCTGCTCTCTGTAGATAACTTGTACTGATGGACTATCCAACTGTCAGAGCAAGAACCTGCAATCATTAATAATATTAATAAAGCTCATTGCTGGTGACTTTAATATACCAATTATTGCTTGTGTGTCCGTCTCAATGATGATTGGTAAGAGCCTTTGTCGGATAGCAATTTGTAAACCTTTGAGGAGTGCAAGGAGTTCTATTTGTATAGAGGTGCCTTCTTTGACAGACCCTGCAAAGCCTATGATCCAATTACTTTTGTGGTTGCGGATAACTCCACCAATTCCATAAGTGCATAAAGCCGGGCAGCAAGATCCATCAATATTTAATTTGTAATGCATATGATCAGGTGGATGCCATTTAATATAGATAGGAGACTTTGATCTCTTCTTACTAGATTGATTTGTTAAAAAGTAATATTCAGCTACCTTTACGAACAAAGAAGGCATATTTAAGTCGTTTACTTTTTGTTCATAAACAAACATATTCTTTTTAAGCCATATTTCCCATAATGCAAAAGGAATTATAATTGTAGAAGGGATATTGTGTGGTGTAGAAGGCAAAGATGTATGTATAAGTTGGTACACCCAAGGCATAAGCTTATTTTGAGGAACAACTAATGTGCTAGTGGGAGGTGATATTCTAAGAGATTTCCAAAGAAGTATGGTATTAGCACAAGTTTGAAATAAATGAGGAATTGTTTCATTATGTTGGTGACATTGTGGACAGGTTGTTGAGTTAGTAATACCTACTTGTGACTGCATCTATTGTTATTCCTTCTAATAAAGGAGAAACAACTATATACCTCTAGGTTGCTCCTAATACAACAACAACAATAACAACTACCCAGTAAAATCTCACATAGTGGGGGTCTGGGGAGGGTAATGTGTACGTAGACCTTACCCCTGCCCCGATAGGGCAGAGAGGCTGTTTCCAATAGACCCTCGGCTCAAAGAGACAGAAATAAAAAACAAGAAAAGAGAATTCATTACTAACTCCAGTAGAAACAGTAATAGTAACAGAAGCATAAAACCAAAAGATGAATGACATGCAATAACAGTAACCAGAGTCTAAGGCCCGGGGCTAAGATAAACAGCAAGTATAGTGTGTGTTCAACATAAACTACAAGCCATCTAAGATCAACCCTAATCCAAACCCGCCTCACCCCCGATATGAAGTAAGGAGAGCTCAACTACCCCTATTCTACAACCCTAATGCTTGACCTCCAGGCCTTCCTATCAAGGGTCATGTCCTCGAAAATTTGCAGTCGTACCATATCCTGCCTGATCACATCTTTCCAATACTTCTTAGGTCTCCCTCTACCTCTTCTCGTACCCACCACGGCCAACTGCTCACACCTCCTCACCGGTGCATCAAGGCTTCTCCTCTGCACGTGCCCGAACCATCTGAGCCTTGCTTCCCACATCTTGTCATCCATAGGGGCGACGCCCACCTTTTTCCGAATATCTTCATTCCTAATCTTGTCTGTCCTAGTGTGCCCGCACATCTACCTCAACATCCGCATCTCTGCTACTTTCATCCTCTGGATATGAGAGTTCTTAACTGGCCAACACTCTGCCCCATACAACATGGCCGATCTAACCACAGCTCTATAAAACTTACCTTTGAGTATCAGTGGCACTTTCTTGTCACACAAGACTCCAAATGTGAGCCTCCATTTCATCCAGCCCGCTCCTATGCAGTGAGTGACGTCCTTGTCGATCTCTCCATCCCCCTGAATCATCGACCCAAATTACTTGAAGCTATCTCACTTGGGGATGACCTGTGACCCAAGCCTCACGTCCCCGTCTACTTCCCTCGACTCAGCGCTAAACTTGCACTCCAGGTACTCTGTCTTAGACCTGCTCAATTTGAAACCCTTAGACTCGAGAGTCTGTCTCCAAACCTCCAATCTCTTGTTAACACTGGCCCTCGTCTTGTCAATTAGAACTATGTCATCAACAAATAATATACACCATGACACCTCCCATTGAATATGGTTTGTCAAAGCATCCATCACCAATGCAAATAAGAACGGGCTAAGCGCAGAGCCTTGGTGTAAACCCATAACAACCAGGAAATGCTCCGAGTCGCCTTTCACAGTCCTAACCTTAGTCTTAGCTCCATCATACATTTCCTTGATCACTCTTATGTAGGCTACCGGCACGCCCTTCGCCTCAAAACATCTACAGAGCACCTCCCTAAGAACTTTGTCATACGCTTTCTCCAAGTCAATAAACACCATGTGCAGACCCTTCTTCTTATCCCTATACTGTTCCACCAACCTCCTAATAAGGTGGATAGCTTCCGTAGTGGAGCGGCCCGGCCTGAACCCAAACTGATTGTCGGATATAGACGTTGTCTTCCTCACCCTCACCTCCACCACCCTCTCCCAGACTTTTATGGTATGTCTAAGTAACTTGATACCCCTATAATTGTTACAACATTGGATATCACCTTTGTTTTTGTACAACGGAACCACTATACTCGACCTCCATTCCTCCGGCATCCTCTTCGTCCTAAAAATTACATTTGAACAACCCAGTCAGCCATTCCAATCCTGCTCTACCCACACACTTCCAAAACTCAACCGGAATTTCATCTGGCCCCGTCGCTCTACCCCTACTCATCTTGCGCAAATTCCCCATGACCTCCTCCACCTTATTGCGCCTGTAATGCCTAGAATCTCGGAGACTCTTCAAATGCCCCAAGTCGCTATGTCCCGATCCCTCTCCTTATTTAGAAGACCATAAAAGTACATCTGCCATCTCCGCTTAATTTGGGACTCTCCCATCAATACTCTACCATCCTCATCTTTGATGCACCTTACTTGGTCCAGATCCTGGGCCTTCCTCTCCCTCGCTTTAGCCAGCCGAAACAACTTCCTTCCCCTGCCTTTCTCCCCTAATTCCTCGTATAGATGGCTAAACGTTGCATTCTTAGCCTCCGTGACCGCCAGTTTTGCCTCCTTCCTAGCTATTTTGTACCTCTCTCTATTCGCTCTCCTCTCCTCCTCGCTTGTGCTCCCTGCCAACTTCGCGTATGCTACCGTCTTCGCCTCCATTTTACCTTGGATTATGTCATTCCACCACCAGTCTCCCTGGTGCCTTCCAGAAAAACTCTTCGATACACCTAGCACCTCTCTCGCCACCTCCCTCACATAGTTCGCTGTCGTTGACCACATAATGCTCGCGTCTCCACTACTCCTCCAAGCTCCCATAGCGGCTAACCTCCCCTCCAACTCCTGGGCTTTATCCTTGGTTAAAGCTCCCCATCTAATCCTCGGGCGGCCACGAACATACCTCTTCTTCCGCTTCATCATAATGCCGATGTCCATCACTAAGAGCCTATGCTGAGTCGCGAGGGTCTCTCCCGGAATAACCTTACAATCCTTGCACAACCCTCTATCACACCTTCTGAGGAAAAGGTAATCGATCTGAGTCTTCACCGCCGAACTTCAAAAAGTAACCAGATGCTCCTCCCTCTTTGGAAAAGTCGAGTTCGCAATCACCAGCTCGAAAGCCTTAGCAAAGTCTAACAGCGAAGTACCTCTTCCGTTCCTATCCCCAAGGCCAAAGCCACCATGCACCTTGCCATAACTACCAACAGCTGCCCCAATATGGTCATTAAAATCCCCTCCAATAAATAACCTTTCAGTAGGTGGAATACTACGCACAATCTCATCCAAGCCCTCCCAAAAGCGCCTCTTAACCTCCTCATCCAAGCCCGCTTGCGGCGCGTAAGCGCTAACTACATTGAGGGTGAACTCACCAATCACCAACTTAATAAACATTAGTCTATCATTCACTCACCTAGCCTCAACCACAGACTCTCTAAGATCCTTATCCACCAAGATACCCACTCCATTCTTACCCCTCACGACTCAGAGTACCACAACTTATACCTGTCCGCATTCCTCGCCTTCGACCCTGCCCACCTAGTCTCCTGGACACAAGCTATATTAACCTTTCTCTTCTGGAGAATCTTTGTCAACTCAATAGACTTATCCGTTAGCGTGCCGATGTTCCACGACCCGATACTCAATCTACAAGCTCCCTCTTTCCCCTTACTCTCCTTTTCTCTCGTCCCAACCCCTAATATGACTAATATTTTCATATACGCTTTCTATAGACCAAGGTGAAGAATCAATTCCTATAATATCATTATGTAACGACCCGGTCGTTCGTTCTGAGAGTTATAGTCCAAATTTTTCCATCTATGCTTATTTATGTATTGTTCAGTTGTGTTGAGTTGTATCAAGTTGGTAGGTTTGGGTTCGGAGTAGTTTTGGAGTGAAATAAACACTTAGTCTCTTAGTTAGAAAGCTAAGTTAGAAAAGTCAACCAGAAGTTGACTTATGAGTAGACGAATTCGATTTGGATTTTTATAATTCGATTAGCTTTGTTGGGTGATTTTAGACTTAGAAGTGTGTCTGGAAATGTAATTTGGAGGTCAGTGGTAGAATTAGGCTAGAATTGGCGAAAGTTGGAAATTCTGCAATTTTGGTTGTGGAAAATTAGTTATCGGCGTCAGAATGGATTTTCGGAAAATAGAGTAGGTTCGTAGTGTCATTTGTGATGTGTGTACAAAATTTGAGGTCATTCGAACGTGGTTTGATAGGTTTCGGCGTCGTTGGCGAATTTTGGAAGTTTAGAAGTTCTTAAACTTGAATTCGAGGTTGATTTGATGTTTTGGTGTTGTTTTAGGTGTTCTAGAGGTTCGACTAAGTTCGGATAGTGATATATGACTTATTGGAATTATTGGTTGAGGTCTCGAGGGCCTCGGGTAAGTTTTGAATAGGTTTGGGTTGTTTTGTGCTCGTTTTCTTATGTTTCGACGCCGTTTCTTCAAGCACAAATGATATCATATAGAACAAATGAGCTCCAATTTCTTTTTTGATTGAAGCATTAGATCTGTATCGTAATTACGAACCCGTAGCAAAAAGAATGGTCGAATTTGGACATTGTATGAGGATTTTATGGTCATTTTACTAAGAATTAGGTTACCAGATTTTTTTCAAATTAATAACGAAATTGCCACTAACGGCGTATTTAAAAATATGTACTACTACAAATATTGAAACCAACATATCTCATTCATTATAAGGTCAAATTAAGTAATTCAAAAGCCTAACTTGACTAGAATTTCACAAAAATACATTGGAGGCATAAAAAACGAGTTTCGGGATCGTTTGGTATGAGAAACGAGGTAGAATAAGTGACAGAAAGATATTTAAAATAAGGATTTGTTCATTCTGTCATATTTTGAGTTGGGGAGCTCGGATTTGGGAGATTTTGGAGGTAATTTTCACCATATGGATTGGGATAAGTGTTCTCTACTCGGTTTTGGTTATATTTCATGAATCCATCTTCGTTTTTTGGGATTTGAATGATTTCAAAGTGAAATTGAGGGAGTTAGGGTTTGAGTTTTGGAGAGTTTTAAATGATGATTTGAGGGACCAAACGGTGTACGATTTTGACGAATTTTATATGGTTAGACTCGGAAGAGGACGAGAATTATTATTCTGCCATTTTTGACTAATTCCGAGATGTGAGCCGGGGGCCGGGTTGTGGCCGATTTCGGATTTTTGGCATATTTTATAGTTTTTATTGTGGAATTCGATTCTTTAGCACATGTTGATGGTATTAATCTGATTATGGTTAGATTTAAAGCTTTTAGAGACTGAGTCCAGAGAAGAGGGCATCCCGAGGTAGGATTTTACGCTGCTGAGGTAAGTAACAATTTTAACTCTGACTTTGAGGGTAAAAACCTGGAGAATTTGATGTCATGTTATTGTTTGGAGGTGATACCCACGCTAGGTGATGGGTGTGTGGGTATATACCCCGAGGGATTGAGACTTGGTCTGTCCCGTGAGGCCTCATGGCCATCATCTTTGTTTACGTAGTTACTTGTTGTTGAACATGTCTGCCTTCACGTTAGAGATCATGTTTAGGATTTATTCATGCTCACATTATTTGTACTCAGTCATAGAAATTATTGTACATGTTTACCTCAGTCTCTATTATTTGCTAATATGCTGTGATACTTGATGTGGGTTGTGTTCCCTTATTTGTTGATAATGGTGAGACTAGTGAGGTACATGATTGAGTGAGGCCGAGGGCCTGGTTGTGAGGATATTAATACCATAGCGCGTGAGTTATCCGCGTAGCACGTGAGTTGACCGTGTGGGTCTAGGTATTGATACCATAGCGCGCGAATTGTCCGCGTAGCACGTGAGTGGACCGTGCGGATTCAGGTATTGATATGATGGCACGTGAGTTGTCCGTGCTTAGAGCTTGGGCTTTGGGACCCCCTCCGAGTCTGTGCACACCCCCAATGAGCACAGAGTGTTGAGTGTATTGACTGTTGAGTGCTGAGTGATGGAGTGACATTGCTGTGAGGTTGCATTTACTTTTGTTGTTGCTGCATTTATTTGTTAAATTTCTTTGTGGCATTTACTGAGTTATGAAATTTACCTGTTTATTCCTGTTATTTTTAAATTTGTGAAAAATAAATAATTGGACTGTTTTATTTAGCTCGTCACTACTGCTCAGTTCCTTAGTTATGTCTGTTACTACTGAGTCGGTTGTACTCATACTATACCCTGCACTTTATGTACAGATCCAGGTGAGTTAGAGTGCGGCGATCGTTGAGTTCAGACCGGCTATCTGTGGAGATTGCAAGGTAGCTGCTAATGTCCGCAGGATCTTGTTACTCCTCTTGTCATTTCTTCTTTTGGACAGTTAGACAGTTTATATATCTTAGTTTATAGTTTTAGACGGTCATGACTTAGTGACACCCCGATGTTTGGGGTTCGTTTCCGTATTTTTCTATATTATATTTAGAGTTGATTTAGTTTATGAAAAATTTAAATGTTGAAATGTTTTATTAAATTCTTATAATCAAATTAGTAATAATATTTTGGGAATAGGCTTGCCTTGTAACATGATAGGTGTCATCACGATCATGGTTATGGATCGTGACACATTACTATTTCATTCGCATCTGATAGGAGATGAATCTTTCTCCATGGTCTACGAACTTCAATCTGCAATGCCTCTCTAACTTCCATTGCTTCAACAATAATTGGCTTTTTCAACCAAATGAATTGGAGATCCAAAGTCATAAAGCATCATATAACTAGCATCAACGGCCACCACATCAAGATTACTTCTTCATCTCTATTAGTTTTTCCTAAATTAAACAAAAATTAAAATTAGAATAATACGACATTACAAAGCAAGGTGATAAACACAAACTACCAAAGTTTGCAACTGATTCAATATTGAAATTTTTACCTCCTATAGCAAATGTTAACACCTTATTTATTTTAAATAAATACCATTAAAAAAATATATTCTATAAATACCTTTTAAATTTAAGGTTTATAGCAAAATATTTAATTTTGGTTACCTCCTATCCCTAAGCCACTAAATACGCTAATCAGTTACACTATTTTCTTTCTCTCTCTCTACTTTGATACATCTCATTCTCTTCCCCCATCCCATTAAAATTTTCGATCTCCTCCTCCTTCTACCGGATTTGTTTCTGCATTAGAATGGCTTTTCCAATTTTATCTAGCGAGAGACGCTCCTTATGCGAAGTCAAAGACCAATTTCAATCGAGATGTACAAATGTCAAGAAGCCATAGTCACGAACATACTCGAACAACTGCTGAGAATGGACCTCCCTTGCTTACCTGACGAAACAAGAGTGCTAGATGCAATGCTACCGAATATTATTTTTGTGACTGGAAAGATGTGAATATAATTTTTATTGCCAAACAACTCAGAGTGAAATTTCCATGAAGGCGGCGCGTTTTTCACTACCGGCTTCCGGTGAACGGCGGATTCGCCGGAAAATAGGGTTTGTTTTTGAACAAAGACGATGGAGTTTGGGGCTGAGCAACTTGATTTTCTGTTAATATATTTCAATGTATTTTCATGTATTTCATTGTCTTTTTTTCATTGTAATTCAATGTATCTCGTTGTATTCCATGTATTTTATTTTATTTACTGTCTTTTTTTCTCATTGTATTTCAATGCATCCCGATGTATTCTATGTATTTCATTATATTCACTGTCTCGCTATATACCATGAATGTATTTATACGTTTTTTTAATTAATATAATTTATGTATTCGGATGTATTATATAATTTCTCTGAAGATTTCTATGTCTTTGGGGTATTTTTCGGTTGAGAATCTTTTTTATAACTGAAAATACAAAATTTGTGTGTTATAATTGAGTTTGTTGAGTTATATTAAGAGTCTATTATGTTAATTGATTCACTTTCCATTTTAAAAACAGTGTAATCCTCTATTTCATGCCGTGAATACAGTCGAATCTATCCATCTGTAATTCCATTTTTTACTCCATGAATACAGTCGAATACACTCGAATACAACAACTGATTAGCTGGACTTCCATGATTCACGCCTATTTTTGCTACTGTATTCATGAATACAATAGCTTAAATACATCAAATACATCTTATAACTACATAAAAAGTATCTATAATCCGTAATATAACAAATGATATTCTTAGATGACTAATTACTATTAAAAGATAATGCTTTATGAAAATTTCTATTCAATATTTTCTGGGGGCCCACAAAAATCTGTATCGCTGTAATAGGTTTGACGTGTAATATACACGTGATGAATATTGTTTCCGTGCACCTCTTGGCCACGTCATTCACATAGATCATTTGATACGCCAAATCAGCAGGGTCCCACTTGACAATATAGGAGATGATATAAGAGAAAAATGGAAAGCTGACAGTACATTAAA